AAAAAAAAAAAAAAAAAAAAAAAAAAAGAAAGAATGATAAAAAATAAAAAATGAACAAAAAGTGGAAAAACGCTCTGATTTATTCAGCGTATGGCACTGATAGCTACTGTACAGATGATGGTCACTGAAGAGCATTGTCATCTGCCGTACTGAAAGTTCAGCAGTTGACAAATAAAGTGCAACTAAAGTTGCTTTTTAAATTTCATCCTAGTTTTGACATATAACAAATAACATTCTTACAGCGGTAATCACCTAGGCTTTTAGTCTTCAGTTAGGTAAGCGTCACTGACTTCATTACATTAATAAAGATATGTATGTATAATAATAAAAAAAAAACAATTTTTTTAAACAAAACTTAGCTAATTAATGACCGGACAAAAATATGCAATAACAGTTAGAGGCTAGAACAGCTGGAAAATGTAACCGACGAATTGCTAAATGGTGATATGCAACTTGGATACAGTGGTAAGTCCTGTTTGTATAGGTGTTCAGGCTCTTGTTGACAGTAAGTGACATGTTTCATGTTGCTCAAATCCATGTAACATGAGCTGTTGTTTTGATCTTTAAGTACGTCGGTGGTTACACAGTTGTTTGGCATTACAGCAGCATTTTTGGCATGTGTTCCTAGTTTTGTTCTGATGATACTGTAAAAAAAAAAAAAGGAAAAAACAAGTCTGTTGTATAGTTCCTTTCAACAGTTTTAAGTTAAGTATTTAAATTTTGCTTATTTCTGTTGACTTTTCAGAAGAACTGTCAGCAACTTTCAGATCGGTTTTAACACTAGTCAGAAACTTGAAATTTTTTTGTTTAAATCTTGCGTCTTTTTTTCAAAATCGTAATCGTTAGTTTTATGGTTTAAAAGCACAAAAAAATCAACTATTTATGCCAAAAATGTTTTTGTCATTTATCTGCCTCTTAAATAAATGGTAAATTTTTATGCTAAATGATACCGATTGATAGAGGAAACGCTCGGAACGTTAAGGGCGCTGCAAACTCCATCAGATATCAGTCTTTCGCGAATTTCCCACGAATACATTGTTGGACGGCAATGTTTGTACACAGCAATTGCAGATATTACCTAAATTGTTCACTATTTGGCACTTCCATGTTTTTCCACTAAGGTTTTAAAAACGTCTGTTGCATTCGGCTGTGAAATAGTTTTTTAGCTGTTTTGTAAATTATAAAAGATATCTCTACAAAATCTTATTCAATGGTCAAGGCAGTGCCTTACTTTAGGCAATGATTTCTTCGGTTTTGAGCCACCTATCTTCCCAGGTCGTATTGAGCCAGTGTTTCGAAATCTAAATAAATATTTGCTTATTTGTTAGTTGCTTAAAGAAGACAATTTTAATAGGAAGGAAATCACAGTGTTGTTTGTTAAAGTGCTATGAACAACTGGCTAAAACAAGCCTTCGCTGTATCAGATCAACTTGTCATTCGCTGTTCTATCTGTCTAAAAGAAGGGTAATCGATATATGCGTACGTTTGAAAAGTATTCAGACAATTAAAGGACAAAATTTGATAAGTGGATGATTTTTATTTGAATTATTCAAGGACAGGTTTCTTCTCATCTATCTTTTTGTTTTTTATTTGAAATTAACTCTATTTCACCTGTAACGTTAGTTCAGATAAGATAGCTCGTTGAAACAGCTGAAGCAGTTTTAATTTTCACGCAAATTTTATTCAAATAAATATATTATAATAAAGTTGCCGCTAACTTTGACAGTATTTTTGACACACATCCATGAGAAACGCGCAATTCTCTAGAAATCTGACACGGTTTTGTACCGGCTGACGACATCTGAATAATTCGTTCTCTAAGGTATGCAGGTAATGGTCGACCATTAGCATAGAATCCTCCTAATTGGTTTGTTCCCGTTCTAGCTGCAAGCACATTTTTAATTGTATCAATAATAGGTGGGCAAATAGACAGTGAGATAATTTTGAACGACAAATTTCACAGCCTCGTTTTTCTTCATTATTTTCGAAATATATTGCATAATAGCTTTTCAAAGCCAAAAAAATTGACAAAAAAGAGTAGGATACGTTTAGTGCAACTTGTCATATAGCAAAGTTCCTTATTTCAGACAATAAATGCCGGTTGCAGAATTTTTATATGATACATATTCAACAAAAAAAAAAAAACAAATATTGTTTTCAGAAACCTTAATTGTTAAAAAACTATTTATACAAATAAATTTGAAAGTAAACAACATGAATAAAGCAGAGATTTATAATGAAATACTTCAAAATAGTTACACAGTTGAGTAGTTTTTTAAAGATAACAGTAATCTGACTGCAGATACATTGTAGATTGCTGAACAGTAAGGTTAGAAAGGGAGTAATTACTTGATGCCTAACAGCTCCGTCATTTCAGTGGTTCTCCTCGCCGAGATGACGTAGAATAAAAAAAATACAAATTTTACAATGAAAAATTCAAACTTAATTTACTTTGCTTGAAAATTTGTAGGCTGTCACATTGGCTGAATTAAAAATCTGTCCTAACATTTAACCGTTCAGACGTTTTATTGTAGAAGAAAACCGTGCTTGTTATAAACAATAAATATACAAGTTATGTGTCAATTTTGAAAGAATTTGTTTATATAACTCCAAAAAAGACTAGCAAAAGGCATAGCTATAAAAATAAAAAGAAGAGTACGGGTTACCGCTTAGTTGGACCATTTGTGGTTGAGGTGATAAGGTAACTTCCTCGGTTCGATAAACATCGTTCCATGTCGATGACGGTTTATAGTTGCTGGTGTCAAATTGGTCAACTGTCTTCAAAACAGGCAAATTTTTATTGCAGTATTCGTTGATAAATTAAGGTTACTGTCAAAAATAAGTAGCGCTGTTATAAATTTTACTTTAAAAAAACTTTTTTTGAAAACTTTAAGTTTTACGTTAATGTCTAAAATCTTAATTAGAAGAGCATTAAATGTTTTCTGTATGCGTCTTCCATTTATCTGCACTGACCTTATCCTTCAAAATACACCTATTCAATAAAATAACAGTAATTGAAGTTTAACTGTGAATAGCTCTTATCAGCAACTTCTGTCATTTGACTTTCAGCGAAGCTAAACGTCAGATTTATTTAAAGACAACGTTTTTTTTTTGTCTTAATTTCTTGAAAACTTAGAAGTTCTATTCCATATAGCCGTTTCAAGAGTAGCATAGATGCTTTTAAGTTTTGAGAGCGTAGAAGGACTGGTAAAGTAAAATAAAAAAAAGTTCAGCAGATT